CTATAGGTTGTGCATAGAGAACAACATTTATGAATACAGTTTTAAGTTTTTGAGGACATAAGGCAGTTGTTTGAATCTCTGCTCCATGACATAGTGGAGCATTTTCTTTCATCTATTTGCAACATTAAAGACATTCTTTATATTTTAAATATCACTTTCCCCTCTCAGGCATGACTGGAGAACTAAAGCTGTTTTGTAAACAGCTTTGCTGGGTTAGAATTGATCTGAAGTTGTATATAACCGACAGTGTGCAGGGAAACCACTCAGAAGATCACTGAAGTTTTGTTTAAGGCAACAGCCCAAGGCCATCTGAACATGTGGAGATTAAAAGCAAAAATTATACTTTTATCAACACCAGCAAAATCTTGATGAAGGTGGAGCAATGCCTCCATCCCTGGGCCCAGCACAGGAGGGACCTGGAGCTGCTCAGAGAGCCCAGAGGAGGCTCCAGGATGAGCAGAGGATGGAGCAGCTCTGCTGGGAGGAAAGGCTGGCACAGCTGGGATTGTTCACCTGCACAGGAGAAGCTTTGGGCTGAGCTCAGGGTGGCCCTGCAGGGCCTGAAGGAGCTGCAGGAAAGATGGAGAGAGACAATTGCCAAGGGCTGCAGGGACAGGAGCCAGGGAATGGCTCCCAGTGCCAGAGAGCAGGGCTGGGTGGGAGATTGGGAATGAGGAATTGTTCCCTGGCAGGGTGGGCAGGCCCTGGCACAGGGTGCCCAGAGCAGCTGTGGCTGCCCCTGGATCCCTGGCAGTGCCCAAGGCCAGGTTGGACACTGGGGCTGGGAGCAGCCTGGGGTAGTGCAAGGTGTCCCTGCCATGGCAGGGGTGGCACTGGATGGGCTTTAAAGCCCCTCCCAACCCAATCCATTCTATGATTCTGTGAAATACACTCTTGAAGAACCACGTGCCTATTTTCTTTTTGTAGCTTAGAAAAAGGTCATTCTGGCTTCACTGGAATAATTTTGCTGTCATTCCATACTCACCACTGCTTTAGACCATAGCATAACATAAGAAGGGAAAGTGCTACAGTGCCTCACCTTCTGGTCTTCCTTGATTTCCAAGTCTGCCTTTACATATGGCTTTCAATATGTTATGGCTTTTAATATGTTATCATAGCCTGGTTTAAGAGCCCTGTCATCACCTCCTAATCCAGAGGATTACAATTTAACTGCTTGGCACTTCTCAATTTTCCTATTAGCCAATGTGTAAATTGCTGGGCCACATATTTAAAATGCCTTCCATCAGCTCCCAGCCACACACAGTGTTCTGCTCCCAGGAATGGGGCAGAAAAGTAATTTCAAGATTTGGTAAAGAAACCTGGGAGCAATGCCACTTCCATGCATTGCATAAAGTGTATGCCCTGAGTCACTGACAGGGCCTGAATGAGAGTCTGTTTCACAAATAGCTCTTACAAGGCTCCTGCAGTCCAGGCTGACCTGTGGAGTGTAGAATGCAGGGAGCCCCTGACACAGGGAATGATTGGCATCTGACTCCATGATTCAGAATGCTTTACAATTGCTTTATTAAAACTATACTATATTACATTAATACTATATTATAACTGTACTAAAGAAATACTATACTACCAAGAATACTAAAGAATACTAAAGAAAAAACCATGACTGTCTGAGACAGCCAGAACACAGCTTTGACCCAGTTGGCCAAGGACACAAAACAATCCTCAGCAGAATCCAATTGACAAATCCCTTCAGGTAAACAATCTCCATAACACATTCCACATGTGTAAAAACAACAGGAGCAGCAAGTAGAGATAAGAATTGTTTTCTCTTCTTCTCTCTGTGCTTCTCCAGGAAAAACCCTGGGAGAGAAAATTATGTCTCTCTCTGTTCAGAGAATGTGAATACCACAGTGGAGAACTTTATCCAGCTCAACAGTTCCACACTGATCATATCCCTCTGCACGACTGGGACGTGCCAAAGTCCCTTTGGGATTTTTCCCTTTGCCCTGACCAAGTTTGCCCAACTTTGCTGCCAGTGCTCAGAATCTCCCAGCTTGGAGTGCTCTGAGCTTGTGTAACTGTGCTTCTCACAGGGCTGTCTCACTGAGGGGGTTAATGGCACGGTGTGTGCATTGCTAATATTTCTGATGTGCTTTGGACTCGTTTGCCTTAAGGTATTGCTGAACACACAGCTACCGTGAGGACAGCCCAGTCACAGTGAATCTTCTGTATTAGTGTGAGTGGATAGGACCTAAATTTGATTGGAGTAAATGAAGAGTAACAAGCAGGAAATCTGGGGGAGGAACCGAGGAGAGATGCACTGAAATGAACTTAATGCTTTCTAAGGATTGAGAGTGGCAGTGTGAAAACCAAATATCCTGTTCTTTCTTCAACCAGAAATTGTTCTGGGAGTGCCATATTGTTTTATCTCATTTATTTCATTTCTTTTAGAAGGCAGCCTGTGGGGATTAATTAGTAATTCTTTTCAAAAAGCTTCTTGAATATGAAAGGAAGTGTTTTATTATTATTCGGTTGTGTTGATAAAAAGAACTATACCAACTTGTGCTGCAAGTGTAAGGAAGTCAGTCATGCCCACTTGGGTCCTTTTCTCTGAGGGGTTTTTGGAGTTTATATACAAAGTGGTTTTTCACCCAGAAACAGTCACTCTAAAAAGAGAAGACTACATCACATCTTGCTCTGTTCAAGCCCTAAAAAGGACCCTTGTGTTTTCAGTTTCTGCCCCCCATTTTGAATTCAATCCTGGGTGTTGGTTGAAGATGCTGTCTCTTGCTCTGTTTTACAGTGGTTCTATTTCTCCTGTGTTTTGATTCTGGCTCCATTGAAGAAATCAGAAAAATCTGTCTCCTGGCAGGCACAGGCACCCACTCATCCAGTCAGATAGAAAGAGGATCCCATCTGAGCAAAACCAATCACTTTGAGTGAAATTTGGCCATTTCTCTCTTTCCATACCTTCTATCCCCAAACATGCCCCTGGAAATCTCTGCTTAACATGTGCCAGAAAGCAGTAGCAGTAAACTCCATTTAATTCCCTGGACTGAAGAGGTTTTTCAGAGGGTGACTGATGCATCCCATCATTAGACTGTTTGTTCCTCTCCCTTCTCTGGGATTAAGAGAATGTCAAGACATTTAAAGCCTCTCACTTCTCTGACATTTTCCCCAAAACTTCCTCTCAAGAGCTTGCTGTATTCTCTGATTCCTTTATTTCCACCCCAGTTGGCAGTGAGGCCTATAAAGCTCCAGGTTCTCCTGTAATGGATATTCCCTCATTCTGGATGCATTGTCAAAGCACTGCACTATTAGCTCACCATTCTTCCATGCTGCTTGAGAGATTGAGTTTCACTTTGGTAGCAGCTCCTCTTCCCTTCTAACAAGACAAGTTTCTCACAGTTTCAGGTTTTCATGCAACAGATTTCACAGTTGCTTTGGCAATTACTGAAGTTTAAAAAAATGCTTTCTACATTATTTGCTTTTAAAAGAACAGCCGAATTTTACTGGTCATGTAAAAGGTGTTCTGCATGTTTTATGCCATAAGTGTGTATGAACCTTAAAAAAGAACAACAAGCCACCACCCCCTCCCCCCCAAAAAAAAAAAAAAAAAAAAAACCACCCAAAAAAAACCAAAAAAAAAAAAAAAACCACACAAAACCCCAAAACAAACAAACAGATAAAAATTTAAAAAGGAAAAACAAAACAAAAACAAAACAAAACAAAACAAAACACACCAGAAAACACAACAAGGAGAAATTGCAGCATTGGTGGACATGCAGCATGAGGAGGGTGGGTTGTGTATCACCTAAAAAAACCCAACAAAACAAAAAAACCCAAAAAGCCCAGCTAAGCTCTCAGGATTTTCATAAACATGCAACAATACAAATCAATCTTAAAGTAGAAGAAAACCAGCCTAAAACACAGTGTAAGCTTAAGAATAGGCATTCCTACTCTCTTGTATATAGTGGTTTCTCCTGAGATTGTTTGGATATGAATCAAAGAAAATTTATCAAGACTCTTTTCACATAACTCCATAACCCTGTAATTGCAGCTCTTCTCTCTGAGCCCCATCCCATCTAGTTTTCCATGTGATCTATGGCTGCATCTCTGCCTCTGCCCATCCCTCTGGCATCAGCCCTGCTATGCTAACTTGCCTTTCCGTTTCAAAGATTATTTGCTCTGAGATGAAACGTGGTGTGACCTTTTAGTACATCAAAAGGTGGGCAAGGAAAGAAAGACAAAATGCTCCCAAGTGTCCATCTAGGGAAAATGTCTCTGAAATGAAACATGACTGTGCGCTTTCTCCAAAAATGAAGGAGAGACAGTGACACCTGTAGTGCAGAGGTGCATAAATGAGTTTCGTTAGGTCCTGGTGGTGGTCTGTTTGGCAATCATGGATTTCACAGAGGATTTAGCAGTGCTGTTTCTCTGCTGGGCTGTGAAGGGTTTGCTGGGCAGTGGTGCTGCTGCAGAGAGGTGATGGCTAAACTGACAATGGGCTGCTGGAACCTTGTACTCGGGAGAAGTTTGTTTTTTTCCCTTGTGGAGGAAAGGAGCATAAGAATGCAAGGATATGATTCTGATGTTCTTACATGACAGAATAGGTGTTTGTAATGACCACATTAACAGTGCAGGGTAGTGAGAAGGTTGGCAGCTTCTTCAGACCCTCAGATGAACTGCAAGATCCCAGAATGGTCTGGGTTGGTAGGGGCCTTCAAGATCCTCCATTTCTGCCCCCCTGCCACAGGCAGGGACACCTTCCACTAGACCAGGCTGCTGCAAACCCCATCCAATTCTTAGGCCTACATATTTTCCTAATTGTGTGTCATCATTTATCTGGCTCTTCTCTTGGTGTTTCAGCAATGAAAGAATACACAGAGTCAATTTAACTATGCAATAATATTATGAACTACAAATTTAAAACCTAACATGGCTTATTTATGATGTAAAAGTAAATAAGATATTTCAGAATGCTTTCCTAAGCTCTTTAGTCACTGATTTGAACTTTCTTTTCTTCTTTCCCTCACCAGGAATCTTTAATGACTGGAAAACTCAATGGATCATGTTTTTCTCATCTAAGCTATTTTTACATTGACTGTGCTGTAAACACATGGAGGAGCTGTAAGTAAATGTTCTGTACTGCGTGATGAATTGGATTGCTACAGTCTGGAGGAAAGCAAAATAATAATTTCATTTCTGCAGTGATTTGCGTAGCGTGTGGTACGATGCCAGAAAGACTAACGGAAATGCTTACGGATACATGGACTCCATTAATAATATTATGGATTACTGTCCTTCCTTCCATTTATATGGCTCCAATGAATCAATCTCAAGTACTACCAAGTGGATCCAGTACAGGACTAAAAAGGCTAAATGAAGAACAAAGAGTTTTGCACCGTTCCAAGAGAGGCTGGGTTTGGAATCAAATGTTTGTATTGGAAGAATTTTCTGGACCTGAACCAATCCTAGTTGGCCGGGTAAGGCAAGATTTGGGTTTTTTTCTCTGAATGTATAAATGTGTGACATGAGAAGGTCCTCAGTCATTCAGGCTCTTCTAAGGAATTTCAGACTGAGGTGCTTTGTGATTCCAAAATAGTTCTCTAATATCCACAGATTTGTGCTTTAAATGTTCCTGACTGTAAGGACACGATTTCCTAGTTAGCTAACCTGCTATTGCCAACAAAAATATGCATATTCCATTTGTCAAAAACCCCACAAGCATGTTCACATCCTTTCTTTTGTATCATTAGTCACCACTCCTCACCTCTGTCAGCTGAAGACTTTTTACCCAAGCAGCTCTTTGCAATATGTTCCTGTGCATTCCTAAAGGTTGTTACACCTATAGGTCATGTTCTATCTCCAGTCTGATGAATCAAGTTGTTTATGCTCTGAGGATTTTTAAAAAAACAGGAACCAAAAAGGAAAGTGTGGACTGTACAGCAAATTATGAGGTCCTAGTTTATATGGAGGTCTATGCACACATATGAAATAACATTATTGTCATGGATTTTTTAATTTAATGTCAGTGTTAGGAAGATAACACAGGGCAAATCATCATATTTTTCAGTGTCACAGCTTTGCTGCTGCCCTAAAGCTTTGCTTGTTGCCATGCATTAGATTATTCTGTAGCCTGCAAAACTCAGGGTGTTACCTCCAGCCAGTGAATCAGCCTTGCACTTGTATGAGCCATCTGTATCCATCAGGGATGAATTATCCTCAGAATTATTCTTAGAAAAGAATGATCTGTTCATAAATGCATGTTTGGCAGTGAGCAGGTATAAATACCTTAATTGTTTATCACTAAAGTTCAATTCCCTCTGAACAACCAAGTGCATTATTGTCTTGCTAGCTGGCTACTGAGGTTGAGTAAAAAAAAAAATCTAGACAAAATGATGGATAACAGTTAATTTCATGGTAATCTTGGAATTTCTATGGATAAATGAATAGCATATAGTATAATATAGGGACTGTCAATAGCTCTATTCTATTATTGAAGAGAACATAGATCAAGTGCATTCCCAAATCTTCCCTAGTGTAGCCACTTTCCAGGTGAGACAGGGTCAGAAGGTGTAATGAGCTTTCTATCCAGTGACTTTTGGTTCTGTGTCAATTTACATTTATATCAGCTATTTGGTATCTGTTCTCATTTGTTTTTCTGGGCTTAGTAACGTATCTCAATTTCACAGAGACAGCAATATGCATATTTCACATCTTAAAATGTTTTATTCAGCCCATTCTTTCTGGAATATTTTAGTCGAGCTTTTAAAATTATTTTAAGTAGCTGGGGAGAATCCTGGATTTGTACTTTGTGGTATTTTGATTTTCAGGGTATATCCAGGTCTAAATATTTCTACTGTTTTAAGGGTTTTTTAGGTGGTTATAATATCCTGAATTGTTTGAGTCATTGGTGAATAGAAGTGGGTAGGTTAAACTAAGCCAAACCAAGGAAGACATTATCCCATCTTCTGCTGGCATTTTAAATAGAATTAGCTAAAATGCTGTGACACTCTATTTGTTGAGACTGCTGCATAATTAAAACACTGCATGTTATAGACGGAAATGAGCAAGAAGCGAAGTTTGTTCCCATAGGGAGGAATTTTTGGTTTATTCATTAGAACGGCACAGAATATTTTTGGAATTCTTCTCTCTATTTTTTCTCCCTCTCCAGAAAAATCATCCATATTTTTGACTTATTTTTCTTTCCTAAGGCTTGTGAGTATTGAGAGTACTTTCAGGCTGGTGTGCAGCCAGTGGGAGCAGAGGTACACCACAGCTTTCAGAGCTGCTCTTAATCCTTCCTGACTGGAAAGCAGAGACTCCCTCAATTATACTTCTTGGCAATCCTTCCCAAAACTTAAGGGTGTACAGAATGTCACAAGCAAAATGCTTTCCTTTTCCGTGAAGTTGGGCTGTGGTTTGTCTTCTGTCACCCTCATTAGTTTCTTATGCACTGCAATTTAAAAATAACCTCCTTTTCAGAACTCGCAGTAGACTTGCACTTACCTGGTTCCTCCTCCTGCCTTTTCCATTTGCACTTTTCCTGAAGCCTTCTGAATTTTTCCTCTGCCAAAGGATTTGCACACCTGGGGTATCTCCTTTGTTCCAGGACTTTATTAACTATTTTTTTCTGCCCTATCACTTACCTTGATTTTCTTTTATTTTATTTTTTTTTTTTTTGCCAGACTTTGAATGAAGGACACTCAGTAAAAAAAGGATATAGTGAGTGCAGAGAGGCTTAACATTGTGGGGAGAATGATATCAAATGTCTGACCCATTTTTGCTGCATTTTCTGGATATAAATGTGCTTTTGTCCTGTTACAGAGTCAGTATTGATTGCTATGTGCTTTTTACATGTTGAAAGTTCTAGTATAATCTTCAAATATATCTCTTTATTTGGTGGTTAATTGCTTCAAAGAAAACATTCTAGAAGCAAATGTAATTATGTAGATCTTGGTTGCAATTTTTGTCTCTACACTGTTGTAGAGTGTACCTGGTGCTTTTCATGTATGTTTTGTACAAATATTTAATTAGGTGCTTTTTAAGAATAAATACAAAAATAAGTTTTGCACAAACAGAAACAAAACACACACAAGCGGAATTTGTTCTCAAATGTCCCATTAAAACCCCCTGAAAATTCAGCTCTTAAGAACTGCTCAGAATAGAACTGATACTTAAATAATGGTTTTCATGTTATTGGGTGGAAAGGCACTGAATAGAAGCATTTGGTCCTAATGGAATTGATGGAATACATCAGCAAAATAAAATTGAAAACTGAGATTAATTTTATAGGATACAAACAGAACACAAATCACTTTGCAAATAAAAGTCTGAGTGCAGAGATTGAGTGTTCCTCCTGTTGCTTAAAAGAGTCTCATACCAAAGTTTGTGAAGTGCAGGGAAATTTAGCAAGACAGGATTACAGAGGTCTGTAGTATCTTTTATTAAACTGCTCAGTTTTAGCAGGGGAAACAGCTTCCAGACATAAAGACTCTTCTCCAGAGTTTTAAGTGTTGCAATGCAACTGCACACACTTCAAAGGTGCGTGTTCATTGCTGTTCTGCATGGATATAGAGTAATAAATGCATTTCCAGTGTATTTGCTCTAATAAATGAAGTAAACTGGGGTGAGACTAATAGGAGGAGTTAATGTGAACACCTTTTAAAGTGTGGTGTCTTTCTTCAGTGACTCGAGTAAAGGTCCAGAGCAAATTTTTTGCTTTCATTCTTGAACCTCTTTGAATTAATTTGAGCTATATGCACTTTTAATGCCAATTTTTGTCATTATGTTTGGTAGGATCAAGCTCAAAATGAGAAACTCTACTCGAGCTCACACGTCTATAAAGAAGTGCTTTCTGAATTTATGAGATTTTGTATAAAAAGCCACAAATATTCTAGTTTTTAACTTACTTTTTTTTGGGCTTTATTAATATGGCATTTATTTTGCCACATGGTATTTTCATAGAATCACGGAATAGAATATCCTGTACTGGAAGGGATCCATCAGGATCACCCAGTCCAGCTCCTGTCCCTGCCTAGACCTCCAACAATCCCCCCTGGGTGTCCAAAACCCCCTGGAGCTCTGGTAGCCTCGGGGCCGTGCCCATTCCCTGGGGAGCCTGGGCAGTGCCAGCACCTCTGGAGAAAGAACCTTTCCCTGATTTTCAGCATAACCATCCCCTGGCACAGCTTCATGCTCTGTGTCCCTCCTTTGGACAGTCTCTTTATGATCTATATCATTCTTATTAAATTCTATATCTTCTGATTCCTTCTATATCATTCTGATTTATATAATTCTTATTAAGTCTCCTGTTATTTTGATCTGCACCTGTAGAAATGCATATGTGCATTTTGAGAAACCCGCAAAGTTACCTTTTTTGTGTTCATGCAACACACGTCAAATGAGTTAGGGTTTATTCCCAGCAATGGATCACCGAGTGACAGATTTGCAAATACCCTTTTGTACTTAATTTCTTTTTCCCCCCCTTCACCCACAGAAGCAGGTACATTACAAAGCTTCTGTGTCTCCTTTAGAAGCCTCCCCACCCTGCACAGTGCTGTCAGCAGCTTGCAGCCTCCCTGTGGCTGACAACCTCATTCAAGTGTAGAGTGATATGTCTTGTGACACTGCATGCTGTCCCTGTGGACTTGATTAGTTAGGTAGAACTTCCACTTGCTATACACTGCTGCATCTTCTCCATCTCCTCTGCATGCTCTTACAGCACCACGGCAGATGTGCTGTGAAATCTGGGCTCTAGCAAATGCCACTGTTCTTTCACAGGAGACAGCCTCTGAATCCACAATGACATAGGTAATAAAGTGAAAAAGCATTAGGAAGCTGCATTTGGGGTTCTGCAGCTCCTGGTTTATGGAACATGTCTTGTTCGTGATGCTTTAAACGGGTTAGGACCTGGTTTAATAGATGTTTTTAAGCAAAAATATGGGATAGTTAATGTAATAGCAGTTGTTTTTAATTAGAATTATACAATCTCCTCAGTCAGAAGGGATGCACCAGGATCATCCAGTCCCGCTCCTGTCCTTGCTCAGACCTCCCAGCAATCCCCACTGTGCATCCCTGCCAGCACTGTCCAAATGTTCCTGGAGCTCTGGCAGCCTCGGGGCTGTGCCCATTCCCTGGGAGCCTGGGCAGTGCCAGCACCTTTCCTGTGTCATGTCTCCAGCTCCTTGTTCCAGCCTGTCTGTACACCCAGGGTGCTCCATCCTTGGTGCAGGATCTGGCACTTGTTTGTCTTTGTTAAACCTCACAAAGCACAAAAGAGGCAATGAAGGCCACAAAAGTTGTTTCTTTATGTTTTCTGTCTTACTAATAAATGAATCCAAATTTACGTCCAGACACAGAAATCCAACAGCAGTCACTCAGGTTGATGCTGTCCGTGTCACACCCCTCCACTGGCAATACTTCCCAAGTTGTCCCAGAACCTCCCCCAGACTTATTTGATTTCCCTGTTTTCCGTCCCAAA